TGTGTGTCACCTGTGTCACCTGTGTCCCCAAGTGTCCCTTTGTGTCCTCCCGTGTCCCCAGTGTCCCCCTTGTGTCCTCCCAGGTTCCCTCTGGGGGACACTGCAGGGACACAGAGCGATGTCCCCAATGTCCCCCCAATGTCCCCCCAGTGTCCCCAATGTCCCCCCAATGTCCCCAATGTCCCCTTGTGTCCCCACATGTAACCCCCAGGGACTCAGGGGGACACTGGAGGGACACTGAGCGATGTCCCCAATGTCCCCCTGATGTCCCCAATGTCCCCTTGTGTCCCCCCGTGTAACCCCCCAGGGGACACTGCAGGGACACTGAGCCATGTCCCCAGTGTCCCCAATGTCCCCCCGGTGTCCCCCTGGTGTCCCCCAGTGTCCCCCTGGTGTCCCCAATGTCCCCCTGGTGGCCCCAATGTCCCCCTGATGTCACCAATGTCCCCCTGATGTCCCCAATGTCCCCCTGATGTCACCAATGTCCCCCTGGTGTCCCCAATGTCCCCAGTGTACCCCCAGTGTCCCTCTGTGTACCCTCCAGGGGACACTGCAGGGACACTGAGCGATGTCCCCGGTGTCCCCAATGTCCCCAATGTCCCCCCGATGTCCCCAATGTCCCCAATGTCCCCTGATGTCCCCAATGTCCCCTGATGTCCCCAATGTCCCCAATGTCCCCTGTATCCCCAATGTCCCCCTGATGTCCCCAATGTCCCCCCGGTCTCCCAAATGTCCCCCCGATGTCCCCAATGTCCCCTGATGTCCGCAATGTCCCCTGATGTCCCCAATGTCCCCTGATGTCCCCAATGTCCCCAATGTCCCCTGATGTCCCCAATGTCCCCCTGATGTCCCCAATGTCCCCCACAGGCAGCAACGCGGTGGACGAGCACGGGGACAAGGTGAGGGGACAAAGGGGGAGGTGATTGTCCCCAAGGAGGTGACAAATCCCTGCCAGGTGTTGGGTCCCCAGGGGCCCCTCCCTGTCCCTGTCCCTGTCCCTGTCGCTGTCCCTGGTGTCACTTTTGTCACCCGGAGCCCTTTTTGTCACCGGAGGGGAGGGGCGGAGGGGGGAGGACATCCGGGGACATCAAAGGGGGTGGCAGAGGGTGACAATGACCGGGAGGGGGACAACAGGACGTGAGGCCACGGTGTCACCTGGCTGTGAATTGTCCCTGTCCCCAGGGCTGGCCCTCCCCCCTCAGCATCCCCTGCTGTCCCCAATGTCCCCTGGCTGTCCCCTCCCTGTCCCCAATGTCCCCTCACTGTCCCCTCAATGTCCCCTCCCTGTCCCCTCACTGTCCCCTCACTGTCCCTCACTGTCCCCTCACTGTCCCCTCACTGTCCCTCCCTGTCCCCTCCCTGTCCCCTCACTGTCCCTCACTGTCCCCAATGTCCCCTCACTGTCCCTCCCTGTCCCCTCACTGTCCCCTCAACGTCCCCTCACTGTCCCCTCCCTGTCCCCTCCCTGTCCCCTCACTGTCCCTCACTGTCCCCAATGTCCCCTCACTGTCCCTCCCTGTCCCCTCACTGTCCCCTCAATGTCCCCTCTGTCCCCACAGATCCCCGATGAGTTTGACAGTGGTGAGTGACCCCCGGGCGGGGGAGGGGGGGAGGTGACAGGGGGGAGGTGACGGGGGGGGTGACAGGGGGGTGACAGGGGGGGAGGTGACAGAGGAGGTGACACTCCCAGTGCCACCCCCCAGTGCCATTTGTCACCTCGGTGTCACCCGCAGCCCCTTTCACAGCCCGGTGTCACCTGGAAAGGGATTTGGGGTGTCCCTGTCCCCTCTGGGGGTGTCCTTTTTGGGGTGTCCCTGTCCCCTCTGGGTGTCCCTGTCCCCTTTTGGGGTGTCCCTGTCCCTTTTGGGGTGTCCCTGTCCCCTTTTGGGGTGTCCCTGTCCCCTCTGGGGTCTCACAGGGTCTCTGCAGACCCCGTTGGGATCCGGCACCTGCGGAGAACCTTCAAATACTTCAAGGATTACAGACAGGTGGGGTTTGGGGGGTCCTGGGGGGGATTTGG